AGCCTGAAATCTTTCTGAATCTGCTGGTGATAAATTATGCTCTGTGTGCAGATACAACTCTTCCTTTAAACGACATGCAAAATGTAAAGTGAGAGACAACTGAATCCAGGTCACAGCTCAGCAGGAAGTCCTGCGTTTCATGTGCGATCCAGAGGGGTCACTCTTATGAACTCATTAGGAGAAGAAAAATGCAAATGTTTTTTTTTTCTAAGTCCTTCACTCCTTTCTGCTACTTTTATGTGGGGGATTTTTATTTTTGTTCATTCAATAAAACCTTATCTGTTATTGAGTTATTGAGCAGATAAGGATAAAACAATGACATAAGTTTGTTCTGTTTACTACAAAACTGAAAATAATACAGAATCTGCAGTAAATGAGAAGCTGATACTGTCTGTGAAAAGGATCAGAAAATGTTTTATTTGAATCAATCAGCACTTGAAGGCCACATTTACTCTATTCTAGTGTTGTGAATGGAAGGACCACACATAATCTCTCTTTGGGCCGCAACTGGCCCCTGCGCCACACTTTGGACACCCCTGCTCTACATGAATAATCAAGCTTTTCTTTTTGTTCATTTAATGATTGCAGCTCATAGTTAAGAAAATTCAAGATTCAGTTTTTCTGAAAGTCTGTGTCAAAAAACAACTTATTTGGCTGAACACTTTTTCCTTCCACTAAACTTTCCATTTGGATGCTTGGATACAGCACAGTGAATATCCAGTTTATTATTTTTTTTGTCGATAACTAACTCCATCCTGGTGATTTTAGCCAGAGGAGCAGCGATGCACGGAGGAGGCGGGTTTGATGTTGAGGGAAAGTTCTGGCGCTGCTTCATCAGAGAGTCTGTCATTTGCAGCATCAAGTCCCTGAACCTGAATTATTGCACGGCACCTTGTCTTTACTGCAGAGACTTATTACCGCTACAGAGTCGTTTAGGAAATGGTAAAAAGTTTCACATCGGTGAAGCTTTTTTCCGATTTACCTTTTAAATTAAAAAATAAAAAGATTTTAAGGAACAAGAAGTTCCATCCGAGACCAAGCGGACTCGGATGGTACAGCGAGATCCTGCTCTGCTGTTTTAAATTGGTCATAAACATAATGCCTGACATGAACACCAAGGAGTCTTCATAAATGTTAATGACTGTTGTCATTAAGTGTCATTCAGTAAATAATGACAGTTTTATTGCACAGTTATGTATTAAAGGCCCATTAAAAATATCAACTTTGCACTTCATGACAACACTCATAAATATTCATGGAGACTCCTTCACTAATATTTATGATGATGTCATGTCAGTCATTTTTTTCTTTAGACTGGCTGATTTTTCCACTCAATTTTTAGTTCAGTTCAGGAACATAAACCTCTCATCCCTCATTCTGAGGTTAAGCTTAGCTAACTCTGGTTAGCTCAGGTTAGGGCTGGAATATGTTCATTTCAATCAATTGTTTACAAACATTTGAATGCTTCATTTGACTGAAGTCGAAGCTGGAACGTTTGTATTCGCTTGTTTCTGGTACACCCGTAAATCTGACGCACAAACGACAGCCGCTAAAAGCAGCGATGGACGACAAACCCGCTTCTGCCAGCCCACTTTGGGTTAATGTCTGCTTCTAAAACGATCTGATTGGACTGTTGCGTTCAAGTTGTACTAAAACCAGTTAGCCTATCAGTGAAGCTATTCGAGCCTAAATTAGCATCTCAGTGCAAAGCGTGTAGCAGCGGCGCTAACGCTACTGTTTTGTTCTTACAGAACGATTTGTTCAGACGTCGCATAAACTTGACTGCAAAGTTGAATCTGAATTGTTTATTCTGTTCATATATGGTGTTCAATTAAAATGCAATTAATCAATTACAGATTGTGTAATTAACTAAATTTTATTTGAATCTTATCAGCTACTGTGACATAAAGTGATATGTGATGTAAATTATTTCAATAAAATCTGGATTTATTTTTTTTCAACTCTCCACCAATGATGTCCAAATCTTTTTTTGTTGTTGTTGTTGTTGTTTATCACAATCAGCACAGTCATCAAGTTGAAAAGGATGTGGGCCACACAAAATATATTTTTAATAAAATTAAAAAATAAATATATTTGTTATTATAGTCTGAACATGCCAGGGCTTATTAAAATAAACAAAACATGTTTTAGTTATAAAAGGGATCCGTAGTTTGTTCTCGATGCAAACCCTTAAAGGGCCAGACGGAGGTTAGCTAAAGTCGGCTTCAGGTTCTATTGACTAAAACATTAAATAAAACAGAAATCTGCCAAAGATAAGAAGCTGATTTTATCTGTGAAAATGTTCAGAAAATGTTTTATCTGAATCAGGGATCTAAATTTGAAGGCCAGACTTGCTTCATTGTAGGGTTGTGGTTGGAGTGGCCACACATAATCTTCTTAAAGGCCACAAATGGCCCCCGCACCACACTCTGGAGACCCCTGCTCTACATAAATAAACTGAATTAAAATTAGGGTAAATTTGAAACCTTATGTTTGTTTTTGTTTTTTTGAATGCCCGGCCTGAGGTCAAACCAAACTTTGCGACTGCTACAAATTAAAATGCCTTGAAAATGTTCATTAATTGCAATAAATTAAACTCATAGTATTTCTATTTTTCACACACAGAGCGATGTATATCCATTTATTCCAGTTCATGTAACGATTACAGCTCACAGTTAATATTATTATTTTTCAATCTCTGAAAAGTCTGCATGAAAACATTATTAAATAGCCTGAGGATATTTTTCTTCCACTAAACTTTCCATTTAGATGCTTGGATTCCAAACTGAATATTCAGTTTCTTTTTTGTGTCATTTTTGTTGATATCTGCCAGAGTAACCATGTAGGTAAAATAAAAATCATATTTTGTTGATAATTATTTGGAGTTTTTGGGGGCTGAAAGTTAAAATCCCCTAAATAAACAGAAACAAACGTTTAAAATATGCCTGTATCACTATTTATGTAACAGAGTCTTTACAAATTTGATGCCCCCTCTTTAAAACATGAACCACCTTGCGGTGATTATGCTCCTATTTTACTGATTAAGTTGAAAAGTTTAATGTGATCATCTGTGAGAAACAGTGGGATTGAGATGCTCGGTTTGTTTTGTATTGATTTTCCGGTTCGTAGAGAGAAGATGCGCAGAACTGAAGCGGTAATCTGCTTGTTTTGGATCGCGGCGGCGGCGTCGGGCCCAGCAGGCCCGTCTCTGCTCTCCCATCCTGCCAGGCCTGAAATCTCTTCCCTGTTGATTCCCGTCACTTCCTCCCAGCTTTATGATTTAAAACCAAATCAAAAGAAAAGGAGGTTGCTGCTGTTTGGTGAAAAAAAGTGCCGGATAATTAAATTAAATAGTGTAATGAGGTAGAACCGAGACTTTTTTCCTACAGCAGGGTGGGAAGGAAAACATCCAAAGCGTTTTTTTTTTTTTTTTACCTTTTCATTGCAGTTTTTGGCTGGAAATAAGAACTGTTTAACGTTGAGGGTCTTTCCAATGAAAGGTTCGGTTGTTCTGTGTGAAATCTGTCTAATTGGCTCTCTCTCTCCCCCTCTTCTGTTTTTTTAAGGGCTGAATCTGTACGCGCGTGGAGGAGCACGCGCTTTCCGCTATACTCTGGAATGCAGCCAGTCTCGCGCTTTGAATCCAAAACCCAAAAGCCTTTGATCTTTTTCCCTTTTTTTCTCCTCTCTCTCTCCTCGCCGTCTCCTTACCCGGAAGAGAACCCTCTCTCTCCCTCCCTCTCTCTCTCTCTCTCCCTCTTTCCCTCCCTCTCTCTCTCTCTCTCTCTCTCTCTCTCCCTCCCTCCCCCTCTCTCTCTCTCTCTCTCTCAGCTGGGATGGACGCACACGTGGAAACGTTGGCTCGGATCCACACTCGGCCCAAATTTAGTCATACAAAGGGAGAGCGAGGAGGGGTGAGTGGGGAGTTGGGGATGAAAGCGGCAGCCGCCGCCAGATCAAAGGCGCCGCGGCCCCGCCCGCTGACTCCTCCCCCGCGCTTTATAAAGATCTGCCTCCAGATCCCGACTTGGATTCTCACGCAATCTCTCAGTTTCAGGCGGAAAACAAGCCCGTTTTTTATTCTGCGCTTTTAGTTATTTGTATTTAAAATCCGGTTTAAGAAAAACTTATGCATATGTTTTTATTTTAAATTATTTTGAGCAATATTAAGATTTGATTTAATTATGTAATCTTTAAAAACAAATAATTCATGTGTTCATATGAATAAATCTGCCTTTATGTGTTTTAATTCACTCCTGTTGCTTATTTTCAACAAAAACACAAAGTTTCACACAGATTAAATAATTTTCTTCTGCAATGCACAGAAACAGATTATTTTTGGTCCATACTAATTTTTAATATAAATGCATTTTGTAAAAAAAAAGTTTCTGTAGATATTTTAAAATATTTTTTATAACAATAAAATATTACTTATGGATTTATTTTTTACATTTTTACTCTGCAGTATTTAGATTTTTTTAATATATATATATATATATAAATAATTTATTAGTTATTTTGCCTTTATTTTTTAAACTACAGTATTTAGACATTGTTGATCATTTTATTATACTAAAAATATCGTTTTCATTATTAATAATGCATTTATATGTTAATTTTTTTTTATTCTGCAGCATTTAGAGTTTTACAAATTTTTATGTTCCTTAAAAATAATTTGCACTTATTTTTCAGAAACAATCGCATTTAAGTCGACCTAAATATAACCAGATAAATGGCTTTTTTTTGTTGCGTCGGACAGAAACTGTTTTAATTGTTTTGGGGACTTTTTGTATCAGTTTGAAGGGAATTGGCTCTGCGACTCTCTCTCTTTCTCTCTCTCTCTCTCTCTCTCTCTCTCTCTCTCTCTCTCTCTCTCTCTCTCTCTCTCTCTCTCTCTGTCAATCAGAGCCTCGGTTCCCTTTCATCTCTCCTTCCTCCCAGTGACTGAAGGGGGAGAGAAAAGGAGGAGGAGGGAGCGCAGCTACATTATCAACACACACACACACACACACACTGCTATCATTACGCCGAAGCTCTGCGGTGGGAAGTCGGTCCGCGGCGGCTCTTCCTCTCTTGTCTTTCTGCCTTTTTGATTTGATTGTTTCGGGACTTTTTATTTGCGCTGTTCGTCCTGATCTGCGCAGCTCTGAGGATTTATTCGCAGGCAGCTCGTTCCCGCAAAGCTGCGCCAATCACGGTGTTTCATTTACCCACCGGATCACGCAGGGACGTATTTTTACTTTTATAAAAACACTTTTTTATTACTATTATTTGTTGACTCGTTTCAGGATGAATTTAGACAAAAACTGAGTATTTTTTCTCCTCATGACTTCTTTAATCTCAGCCCCGGATTCTGATCTGGTTCGCACATTTCAGCTTTTTGAATAGTTTTGAGAAAAAGGAAAAACCTGCGGCTCCTGTTGCTTCTCTGAAAACCTGCGGTTCCTTCCTCCCGCCCGGATCTCGGTGGGAGTTCAACCTGAAACCCCGCAGCCGCGGAGCGAGCGCGCAAACCCCGCACCAAACCCCGCACCATGCCTCAGCTGTCGGGCGGCGGCGGAGACCCGGAGCTCTGCGCCACGGATGAGATGATCCCGTTCAAGGACGAGGGCGACCCGCACAAGGAGCAGATCTTCGCCGAGCTCAGCCACTCGGAGGAGGAAGGAGACCTGGCGGACATCAAGTCCTCCCTGGTCAACGAGTCCGAGATCAGCCCCAACAGCAACAGCCACGACGTGAGTCCGCCCTGCTGCCCCGACCTGCCCCGAACTGCCCCGAACTGCCCGGGTCACCCAGAATCTGGGCTAAAAAACCCTAAAACTGCTTCATTCCTCCATAATCTGTTTAAAATAATACTTTGGAACTGCTTCATTTACCCACAATCTGGATTGAAAAAAAATCCTCAAACTACCTACCCATTTACTCCTAATCTGGGTTTAAAACCCTCCAAACTGCTTCATTTTGACCTAATCTGGGTTACGGTTTCCACTTCTCCAGATTTTTTATCAGCTGAGTCACTCCTGATGGAACCATTTAAATCTGACCTACAGGAACTTTAAAGATGCTCATAAAATCTGGATTTAAAAAATCTGATGAAACCTTAAACGCTTCTGAACTTAATCCAGACTGAGGCAAATCTGAACACAAACCCAGATTATAAACTGCGTTTATTTAGGATGGATTATTTTGGGGCCTTTTGAGTCAAACACTTCTTCATCCTGATATTTATGCTGGGAATTCCAGTCGTATTTCATGATTTTCTGCATTGATCGGGTCAAAATAATCCAAATAATAATCCAGGAGAAGAAATACTAGGAACATGTAAATTTTTAAAGTAAAGCTTTTCTGAGTGTTTGCTGCTGAATTTGGAGGATTTTCTTTAATTTCTCTGTTTTTTGGCATGAAGCTGGTCTCTAAACGGAGGCTGAATGTTAATGAGGTTGAACCTGAAGTCATTCCCTCTCCTCAGAGAAACAATTGTTGGGATTATTATTCCTTTTTGAATGTTTTAAAAAAATCAAACGACTGGTTTGGCAGAGCATCAGATGCATTAATATTTTTAAATTTTATCGAACGTTTTCTGGGTTTGAACTGTGAGAGAGCAGACCACTAGTATTGGAAATAAGTTAATTTGTAAGCTGCTTAAGGACATGAGGTTTAATTAAGTGTTTCCTCTGAAGCTTTGATGAGGACTGCTCCATCTCCCCTACGCAGACAGGGCATCATGTGTGTGTGTGTGTGTGTGTGTGTGTGTGTGTGTGTGTGTGTGTGTGTGTGTGTGTGTGTGTGTGTGTGTGTGTGTGACTGATTTCTCTCTGTTTTCTCTTCCAGGCAGCTAGACAGTCCCAAATAGGTCCAGATTCGTACCATGAAAAGCACAGAGAGCACCCAGACGACGGTAAGCAGCTGCTTCCTCCTGGAAAGCGACAAACGTTCAGTTTTACTAACCAGATCAGAGGCGACAGCAGAAAAGCTTATTTTAGTCCTGCGCTGCAAAAACACAAAATCTTACCAAGTGACTTTAGTTTCTGACTGAAATGTCTTTGTATGCTTCAAATGAACTTAAAAGCAACTTTTCAGTTTGTTTAAGTCAATAATTCCTTAGTGTTGGTGAAAAAGTGCAGATTATTTCATAATTCATCAACATCAAGGAACTAAAACAACCTGAAAAGTTTCTTCTGAGTTACTTTTCCTTTTATTTCAAGTGTTAGAAGATATTTGCACTTGAAAACATTTTCTAACTTTGTAGATGTCTTAGCACAAAACTTTGGTAAGATTTAGTGTTTTTTTTTCTGCTGCTAGTCCAGACGCGGCGTCTGCAGGAAAAGCGAAGAATAAAAAACAAAACAGGAAAAGGAGGTGAAGTGTTTTCACCTGGGGAGTAATGCGTCAGCTGCAGGGATTTGTGATGTCACAGGCAACATGTTGCCCCTCAGGGACTCGTTGCCCCCCCAGGGACTCGTTGCCCCCCCAGGGACTCGTTGCCCCCCCAGGGACTCGTTGCCCCTCCAGGGACTCTTTGCCCCCCCAGGGACTCGTTGCCCCCCCAGGGACTCGTTGCCCCCCCAGGGACTCGTTGCCCCCCCAGGGACTCGTTGCCCCTCCTGCCTCTTGCCTCCTTCAGGACTCACGGCAGTCTGACCCCATGCCTGCAAGTCATAGTCGGAGCGTGCCTCCTTTTTGTTCCTCCTGCTTCAAAGCCAAACACTGGCCTCCCTCTTCACGTCAGCCATGTTGCCGTCGGCCTCTGCCCCCCCACGCCTCCCTGACCCCTCCTCTCGGGTCAGAGGCGCAGTTGGGGCGTCTTTGACACAGCCTGTATGTTCTCCTAATTGGTGCTAATTGGCTCAGAGGGGCTCCATTATTGCGCCGCATAATGGCGCCCTCCTCTCTTTGACGAGGGGCAGAAAGGAGGAACAAAAGGCCGCAGCGGTGCGGGGCCGAGGGGTTAAAGCCACAGAAAGCGATATGATCACCAGGTGAACTTCGGAGCGGTTTGGTTCTCTGAAACGGAAAGTAACGCTGCCTCTGGTTCTGCTGTGTTTGGACCAGGAAAACACCCGGACATGTACAGTAAAGGCCACCCGTACCCGGCCTACCCAGGCTACATCATGATGGGCAACATGAACAGCGACTCCTACATGAACAACGGCTCGCTGTCGCCGCCCATGGCCAGAACGGTGAGTACCGGCCCGGTTCTGGGCCACCAAACTGATCCTGCAGAAAAACGACTGAAACTCGTCTGAACGGATGTGTTTTCACTGAAATGTAGCAGCTTTTCCATCTAAAAGCTTTAAAACCAGCCGTGCTCCAATAAATTGGCTCAGATTGCCGTAATTTTGGGAAATTGGTCGAACTTTAACATGACAAGCCGAGCTCATCTTTCTTCTAAAGGCCTGAAAATCGGAAAAAATGCAAACTTAGCAACTTTGTTACTGTATTTCGCAACGTTTCAGACAAAAAACAGATCAGCTAAAATCGGCAGATCACATCAGCAATCGGTGCCATTAATGAGAGCCAAGTTTGGTTTGTTTGTTCTTGATGCGATTCTGCAGGTTTTGTTTTAAATATCAAGGTTTAGCAGCTCTGAGGTTTTTGTTTCGCACATGTTTAAAACCGGAATCTCCAAATTCATATTTAGTTTTTTATGAAATTTTCCCCTGAACCAGAGGAGCCCAAACGATTTTGGGACAAAATTGTGGAGTCAAAAGAACCAAGAAAATAAAATCAAGTGAATTAAGTAGTCCAATGCTTTTTTTTTTTGTGGAAAAGCAAACTTAAAAAATATTTTATGTTTGTTATATTAACAAAAAAAAATCCCCGTTTTTTATGTTTTTGGGCTTGATTGAATAAAACAGGATTTATGTCACTTTCGTTCAAAGAGGTTGCTATTTTTAGCCAAATTTAATAAATTAAGTAAAAACTGGTTTCGGTTTTTAGTAAAAGTCTCTGGATAGTCTCTACTTTCTATCAAAGACAAATCATTAGCAATTTGTCTGTAATAATTTTGCCCTGATTAGTAAATAAAAACTCTCCATCTAATCAAACACCGGGGGCCGCATTGGATCAGTTCGGGGGCCACAAAAGGCCCTCTGGCCACCCTTTGGACACCACTGGTCTGAAGGGAAAAAATAAAACAGAATTAAAAAAAATAATAAATCTGCCTGGTTTATTAGAAGAAGCTTTCGGAGCGTCTTTGATTTTAAATAGCGAAACGCTGATCAGGACATAATGGAGAGAAAACAGGAAGTTTGGAGTAAAAACGGAAAAGAAGCTCGACGGTGCTTCATATTTAGTTTTTAATTTTGTAAAAAATGTCAGAAATGACTGATTACAGAAGATAAAATCATGTATTGATCTGTAAATGAGGAATTAATTTTAAAATGTACCAACAGTTAGATCATGTCTGATCGATGAGACTTTGTCATCATATAGATAAAGAAACATAATCTAAAACATCTATAGTCTATTTTATAGCATTGGTTTGCTTTGATTAGACAATGCATTTGTTTTCTGTATTCTTCCTTTAGTTGACCTCCATGTTGTTGTCAGTTAGCCTGCTAGCGCAGGATGCAGACACACAGACCGGCCCTGAGGAACACCAAGCTGGGCTGCAACCTGGCAGATGAACCACATTTAAATCTGTTCTTATCTACCAAGAGCCTTTGATTTTTTTTTCCTATCTGGTTCTGAGTTTGTTCCTCTCAAAATAAGAAGCGTGATTTGTATCTAAAGAGTTCACTGATCTCAGGAACCAGGAGCTCTTCCAGATCGCTTATCTTCAGTTTGGGAAACCAAACGTCTGGATGTGCGGGAACTTTTTCTGCCCGACCCGGAAAAACCCGAGAGTTTCAGCTCCGTTCAGTTCTGTGTTGTTTATCAGTGGTTAATAAACTAAATGTTTATCAGGTGCCATTAAATGTCCCTCAGACTTCATTTAAGAGAAAAGGAGATTGTCTGCTTCTCTGCTGTTGCTCCTTTTCTTTCATTCTTAAAACTTATTTTGATTTGTTGGCATTCAGTTGAAGTCTGACGCTGTAACTTCTGTTGGGATGTTTTAGTTTTATTCTCTTTTAATCGTTTTCTTTTGCTTTGATTTGGTATTTTTCATATGTCCTTGTCCAGAACTTCAGTGCAGTTTCAAACTTTGTTAAACGCGCCACATAGATAAACTTTCAGGCTTGCTGCTGCTTTCTTCTTACTTCAAAAACACAAAATGTTCAGACGTAATTCTGTTTAGTTTATAGTGCAAATATCTTAGTGCACTTGGAAATTAACTTAGAAGTAACTTTTTAGTAATAATCTTGGTAATTAGTGGAACTAGTACTTTTTAAAATCAGCATTAAAGGAATTATTGGCCTAAAATGAGCCCATATTTCTTACAGAAAAGTTACTTTAAAGTTATTTCTGTCTTATTTCAAGTGAACTGAGACATTTGCACCAGAAACTATATCAAAACTACTTGGTGAGATTTTGTGTTTTTGTAGTGTAAAAAGTAAAAAGGGAACAGTGAGTCTGGTCCTGTTAGCCTCGCACTGCAAAAACACAAAATCTTACCAAGTATTATTGGTCTAGTTCACTTCAAACAAGACTAAACAAACTTAAAAGGAACATTTCAGCAAGAAATAGGAGCTTTAAGTCAATAAATTCAGTCAATAATTCATCTGATGTTGATTTTAAAAAGTACTAATTCCACTGGCAGATTATTTCACTTACAACATGTGAAAAATGTTATAAGTGAATTCATCTGACAGTGGAACTAAAACTTTTTCATCGATATTAAGGAAACATTTATCTCACTGCAGTCACTTGTAAGTCAGTTTCATCTCATCTCAAGTGCACTGAGACACTTGCATTAGAAACCAGACATAAATACTTGGTCAGATTTTGCGTTTTTGCAGGAAAGCTTCCACTGTCCGTTAGCATCGGTGCTCCCACCTGGTCAGGAAGAACAACACGGCTGCTTCTTGCTGTGAATTTCCCGGGAGTTGGTTGGAGCGGCAGAAAGTTGCCTCGGCGTTGTTGTGAGAGTCTGTGTTTTTTGGGAAGCAGATGTGATTGTCGGGGGGTAAAGGCCACATGCTGAGTGTAAAGGATCTTCTTTCACACGCAACTCTATCGTGGGATGATGTTAAAATTGCGTTGTTCACCCTTTGAAATAGTTGCGGGAGTGAAAAGAAAGTGTGGCAGTTTGGAGAAAATTGGATTAATTCGAGCGCTTTCCTGTTCGCTTCTGGAAATTCTGTTCTGATGTTGAGATTTCTGCTGGTTTGTGTTAATCCGTGGCACAGAGAAGCTCATAAACCTCAGTATGGAGACCAGCTGAGTGTTAGAGGAAATTACCCCTCAGTGCAGATGTGTAAAACCAGGCAGTTTGGAGGCAAACCTCCTGCCCAAACTTCTAAAACCTTTTCTTTTGCTGTGGTTAGCCTCCCTCCCCCTGTCTCCAATAAAACAGAAGTCATTTTCTACGCGTTTCTCTCGCCGATCCAATAACAAGTGGAAGAATCCCGACTTTCTCACTGATGTCAGCTCGCCTGCTCCGCTGCCGGCCACCGCAGCCTCAGTATCTGCAGGCCTGGGATCAGTTTTCACCCAGATCAAAGCCACATTCTCCCTTTCATTCTCTTCCATCCTCGCCCGCCATCCCAGCAGTTTAGATTGATTTCCATTGACCATGACATTCCTGCACATGCCGGAGTCCAGTCTGCGAACAGAGGGTAGCGTTTGCTGATTGTCAGCAGATTTTGGGGACTCCCAGCTTAATGAGCAGACTCAGCTACAGAAGCTCAGACTTTACGCCAAAACATGTTGACAGTTACGCAGACACACAGAGAAATGAGTAGCTTTTCCAAAAAACAAAAGACCCTGGATAAATGTTGATGAGACTCATCATGACACAGTTTGAACACCTGGTGGCGCTTGTTAAGAAAAACGTATTTCACGCTAAGTTCACACACCTTCGATGATAAATTAGATTTTCTGTGGTTTTGGTTTTTTAATGGTTGTTTACACTACAAATTAAATGTGAGCAGAAGAAGAAGGCTGATGTCACACAGCAGCGCTCTGTTTACGGCAATAAAAATGGCCGCCGCTGTAACTGTGGCCTCTAACAGGAGGCCACAGGTTTGTGAAGGTTGATGAAGTTGGCTAATAAAATGAAAGCGCATCGGCTGCAACTTCTGTGACACAAACTGCTTTCATAGTTTTACTGTGTCTTGGTTCTTCTGATGCATCGGTGATGCAAAATGACCCTCCAGACTGCAAACGCTGGGAAAACTATCGGGCGATTTAGCTCCTCAGATGGAGGGATGAAAGTAGATCTCACAGCAATAAACTGACACAGATCTTCCAATTTAAACTAAACCTCTGTCTCAAAGCAGCTCTAAAGCTTCAGCTAGCATCACATTTATTCAGATAAATTAGCATAAAGAAAGAACAACATATATAAATAAATAAACTGTGGCATTCATAGTTCTCTGGTCAAATCTAAATTATTTTAGATTTCCTAAAGATCATTTAAAACATCTTTTGGTTTGTTAAACATTAATTCTGTTTGTGGAAAGAATGAATTTAATGCTTTATTCAGCACGCTAGAGTTAGCATGTTCTATAGCTTTTAACTGCTTCACTGTTTTATTTCATTGAATCTTAACTGGGCTGCACAGTTGGTACCACTGTTCCCTTGCAGCAGGAAGGTCCTGGGTTTGATTCCCGGCCCAGTGTCTTTCTGCAGAGTTTGCATGTTCTCCCTGTGCATAGTGGGTTCTCTCTGGGTACTTCGGCTTCCTCCCACAGTCCAAAAACAGTCTCTGAATTCTCCCTGGGTGTGAGTGTGTGTGGTTTGTCCTGTCTGTCTCTGTGTTGCCCTGCGACAGACAGATTGGTGACTCTGGTTTCATGAAACCTAGATAGTGTAGCTGGTGTGTTCTGCAGCATTTCGTGTATTAAGATCAAAGCATTCGGACGAGGTTTGTTTGCATGGTGTATCGAGAGAATCTTCATCAGTGCAGACTGAGCGTTTGCACTGATGAAGAGATTAAATAATGTTTTCTTGGGTAATGCTGCGATTTTGTGTAAATGCAGTTGTGAAGGTTACATTTTTCCACCTGACTCAGCCGACGATTCTTTGATGTTTCAGCACAAAAAACGCCAGAAAAAAACTCTTTCATCTCAAATCA